TGCGATGTAAGGCTGTTCCAACCCTTGGATGCCTGGGAGGGGCGCAGGGCAGTGGAGGAGTGGAGGAGAGGTCGGCGCTGCCGTGAGGGGCGTGGCCGTTCCCAGGTCGTGTGGGTCGGCTTGCTCCTCGCCTGTATGCGTTGCAGAGAGTGCCGCAGTGCGCTGTACTGCACCTGGCTCCTCCGCCGCGTCCCCCATCATGAGCGAGTCAGTGATGGCGGCGGCTGGCGGTGCTTGCGACTTGAAATAAGCTAGAAGCATGGAAGCCTGGCTGAGGTCCGTTTGTGCGGTCTGAATGGCCAGGGCAATGTTGCGCACGTGCTCCTCCGCCTGCGCTTGTTTGGCTGCCAATTGCTCACAATCGGCCTGCTGGGAGGCCACCACGTGCTCTTGCTCACTAATCTTGGCCAGCGGGTCCCTCGCGTTGGCCAATTGAAAGTTAACTAGTGAAATCTCCTTTCGGATCTCGGTGATACGCATATCGGAGTGTCCTGGGAGAGTTGAGGCCCTAAGCTGCAGGATTAGTGCCTCCTTGCTCATTGCAAGGGCCTTGCGGTGCTCCAACAGGCGGTCGGGCTCGAGCGGGGGGTAAAGCCAGGCTGAGTGAGAGTGCGCCTCGTCTGGGGTAAGGGTAGGGCACTGCGCTGTGAGCTCCGCCTCTGAGAGCTCAGTGACAGGATCCAGCGCGCCGAGCGAGGCGGAGGCCTGTTCGGCCGCGAGGAAAGGAGAGTGCTGTACAGATGTTGGGCCGAAGAGTGTAGGGGGAGTGGCCGCACCGTCGTGAGGAGGCGCAAAAGGGGAAGGCTGTGTCTGGGGAGACTGTCCTATGATGCCTGTGTCCCTAGCCCCGTGTGGGGTGCCAGGAGCCTTCGATGGAGGCTGCTCCCCATCTCTGCGCTGGTACTCGCGATCTCTACGAGCATCGTCCTTCTCGCGCTTCTTGCGCTCCTTGCTGGAGATCCCAGCCTCTTGGACCGCATGATCTCCTGGGGGTGCAGGGAGCAGGCCGTATTCCGCTGCCCATGCAGCCACCTGATCGAAGGACGGCGCCCCTGTCGGTGCGTGGCCCTTGCCTAAGCGCACCCCCCCCGTGCTTCCGGAAAAGGAGCGAGGGCCCTTGTGGCCCGGCCCCGCGCCCCCATCATGCAGGGGCCTGTGCTGCCCCTGACCTTTGGCTGGGCCGACCTTCGCATGTTGGTGACCTGCTGCCCGAGTCGGAAAACAGTTGGGGCATGAGACGTCCATAGTGGTATTGGCCCGGCCACATTGCAGGCAATACCAGAACTCGGGAGGGGCGCTGCCTTTCTGGTGCACTGGCTGCTGGGGTGGAGGAAAAAAGTCCATGGGAAGGCGCGTGGCATAAAGAGACGGTGAGGGAGGAGCAGCCAAACGCTGGGTGGGAGAAGTAGCCATACCGTGCTGCTGCAGCCCAGCTGTTGGCGAGAGAGGTGGCGCGTGCGGGGGGGGAAGGGTAGGAGGAACAGCGCCTTGCTGGGGGATACCCTGGAAGGAGTGGTGCTGCGAAAGCATCATCGCAGCTTTGTGCACCCTTAAAAGAGTGCGGGCGTTAGCGCGCTGCTTGCGCGCTCTGCGATGAGGAGCGGGCTCGTCGCGAGGCCGCTGGGGATAGGAAGGAGGAGAGTAGGCAGGCGTCGCGCCTGGCAGATGGCGGCCCGATAGGGCGTCGCGGCGGGGATCGGCGCGGAACCGGTTGTGCAACCGCTCGAGCCAAACCTGAGGCAGGAGGAGGGAAGGAGGGGGAGAGGGAGGAAGGGGGGGGAGGGAGTGAGGGAGGGAGAGGACATGGGGAGGAAGGGAGGGAGCCAGAGGGAGGGAGGGAAGGAGGGAGGGAGATGAAGAACCAGGAGAGCGAGAGACCGCGCCCATCCCCCCTCCTGGCGCCAGAACAGCGTGGGCTCCGGCAAGGGCGATGCGGCGGCGGTGCGCGGCTGTTGTGCAAATCGCGTTTCTCAATGCTTCCTTCTCCTCCTCGGTTTCTTCCTCCTCAGGGGACGTCTTGCATCCTCCTCATGCCAGTTGCGTACGCTCCTCCTCTTCTTCGTCGTCTCTTTCCTCACTCCGATCCCGCTCCCCCCTTTGTTGCTGCTCTCGTGCGGTCGTGCCCAGCATACCACTGTTGTATCCAAGGGCCTGTGGAAGGGGCCAACCAAGAGTGGGAAGAGGTGCATTGCCAGACAGAGGCTTGGAAACGGCGGTCACCACGCTGTTGACAGTGCGCCGTTGTCTGCCGTTGAGCACCTCAAGGCCCTCAATTATTCAGGGCCCCTCAGCTTTAGAGGCTGAGGGCTATCGCGCCCGCTGGTCAGCACAGCGCTCTAGTCTTTCAGCTCTCGCTCCCCCCCCAGAGGTTCTACTTCGATCCGATCTCGATCCAATTCGATATCGGTTTCGGCTTGCTCGATCCGGCTCGATTCCAATGTTCCGGCCATCCGATTCGGCCCGACGTTTGCATGGCGTTGTTGTGCATTTTGGCGTGGCCGATTCGATTCGACTGTGACTCCATGCCGATGTAGTCCGATCCGACGCACATTTTGATTCGACCCGAGTTCCCGATGCGGGGCTAAGAGGGGCCCCGTCGGTTGGCTCATGATCGAGACAGCGATCACAGTTGTCGCCCGCTGCCTGTTCCTGCTGCTCCCCAGTCGGAATCCGGTCGACTGGGCTCGAGATCCCAAATGACTCATTATCGAGACAGCGATCACAATTGTCGCACGCTGCCTGTTCCTGCTGCTCCCCAGTCGGAATCCGGTCGACCGGGCTCGAGCTCCCAAGTCATGCGGCGCATCCAGCCACCGGGTGGCAGGGGCAGGCTCCGGCGGCAGTCAGGGCCGATGGGGCTGGGCGGAGGAGCCGAGGGGTGGCGACCGATGCTGGCGCGGAGCACGAGCTGCCTGGCGGCCCAGGCGGGCAAGTCGCGCACCAGGCCGAGACTGGCAGGGGCTTGCGGCGGATACAGCGAGCGTCGTGACACATTCTCGTTCGGGAGACTGCTGCCACGGAGTGCAAGGACAACCAGCCCTGTTTTGGAAGGGGTACCCTCCTGCTCTTCATGGTGGGGCCCTCCCCCCCTGAAGGTTCTGCTCTGGGGTATCTTCGTGGTGCCCTGCTCCTTCGGCGAGGGGGCTCCGGGTCCTGACTCACGCTGTCGTGGCCATGCCTCGACTGTGACAGCCGGGGGCAGCCACGGGCTGGCAGCGACTGCCAGTTGCAGCCAGCGTTGGCGGCGGCCAGGGTCACAAGGGCCACGTCAGAGGCGCGCCGCGTCGACGCGGCGGCGACGCCGGCGCGACCGCTCCAGGTCGAGGGCCACCAGACACCTGAATCACGCCAATGTTGAACACTCTCCACTGCCGGATAGCTCAGGAGGGGAAACTAGACACAGACACAAACAAACGTCGATTCCCAGGAACATATGGGGGCGGAGGGAGAAGACGAACATCCAGAAAGTATGGAAAATATGCGGAATCCTGGGATTTGTGACTACTTGGTTGTGTGTGTGTGTGCCTGGGCCCCTTCAACCGAACAGTCTCTGCTGTCGGATAGCAGAGCATGCACGTCGGCATGACAGGATCCAGCCGTAGGCGGGGACTGCATGGGGCAAGCGGCGGCATTTGCCAGCGGCCAGGGCTGTGGGGGATCTTGCGTAGGGTTTGCCATGGGCTAGCGGATGCAGGGGGCGCAAGCGGCAGCTAGGGCTGGCGCCAGGAGACGAGATGCACGCAGTGAGATGTCCACGTCGGATCATCATTCTGCCGGAATGAGAGCTCAAGAATAACAATCATTCCCCGAATTGGCTTGCTGAAGGGTTCTTACTTCTTTGTGGCAGAAACCAGTGGATGCGACGTTGCCTGGTTGCCGAGCGTTCTTCGGAGTTGCCTGGAGTGCAACGCCAAGCAGTGCCAATCCAAGAAATTCCAAGCAACGGCAAGCAATGCCAAGCAACGATTCCAAGCAATGCCAATCAAGACAAAGCAATGCCAAGCAACATATTGCATTGCTCAGCGCTGCTCTGCACTGCCTAGAGCTGTTTTGACATGCTTTGGAAGAAGGACGGCCCTTAATTGGGGTCGCGCCGGGGTCGTTTTAAGACTGGTCGCATGCTTGTACCCCCTGTGGGTCGTATGTGTATTTCTTGCCTGCCACGTGCGGTTGACGCCGCTCCTGAAATTGGAATGTCAAAGAGAGAGAGAGAGAGAGAGAGAGAGAGAGAGAGTCAAAGAACACAAATTTTAGAAAGAGAGAGCGAGGAAGGGAGGAGGCACGAAGAGGGGAGGGGGCGGGGCAAGAGGGAGACAGGAGAGGATTCAGATCGAGAAAGACTTAGTAGCAGGAGATGGGGAGAAAGAGAGAAACATGAGGACTGGCAGGCGGACCCTGACAGGCGGGGCAGGCGGGCGGAAGCAAAAGGGTCGAGTGGAGCGGGCGGACCCTGATGGGCGGGGCGGGGCGGGCGGGGCGGGCGGGGCACCAAAGCGATCGGGCGGGCTGCAAATAAGCAAGCGAAGGGGCCGACCCTCATCGGCAGGGCGAGTGGGCCTCTTACCTCCGCGGGCGGGTCGGGTCGGCGGGAGACTGAAGCGAACTCTTAGCCACTTGCGAGGGAGGCGCCAAGGCGAGAGCAGGATTCCTGTGCAAAGGATGAAGAGCTCTCGCTCGAGAGCGTGATTCCTGGACTCAAGGGCATAAAAAAACGCCCCTACCCTGGTTTACGAGGCCTTGTGCGCTGAAACTCCCGTGGGTCGACAGTGGAATCCCTGCGTGATGTGCCGCGTCCTGGCGGTTCTAGGCTTTGGGGGTTCCCAGGAGGTTTACAGACCACGCACTTGTAACCCAGGGTAGGGTCGTTTTTTCATCCCTCAATGGACGTCGAAAGCGCTGCGCCACAGTAAATTGCGAGGGCGTTCCCTGCGAGAGCGCGATGCCTGAGCGAATTGCAAGAACATCTCGGGCGCGAGCGCGTTCCTTGAATGAGCTGTGAAGAAGTCTCAGGCGGGAGCCGTTGTTGTGGAAGTCTGGGGGCCAGGGGCGCAGTTTGAGCAGGAAGACCTTCCCTGATAAAGACAGGGTGCGAGCCCCCCTCCGAAGCCATTTTGGCCCAAGCGAGCAGCAAAGCTCTCGCGGGTCAGGGCAGGCCGCTCTTCCCTTCTTCAGGCCTGAGCGTCATCGGAAGCCATGAGGCTGTCTCTGCCGCTGCTGGGCGTGCCCGTGCCCAAGAAGAGGGTGTCCCGGTTTATGACCCGGCGCCGCCATCTCTTGCAGTTCATTGATCATTACAGGTTCCTGTTCAGGGCTCGTCGGGAACACCTTGATCGCAGGCGATTGCAGGAGCCGATGTACGTGGAGGACTACGTGTCTCCTACCTTCCGGTTTCCCGGGTTCTGGCCAGAGTCGTTCGGATACCAGAAGGGCCGGTCACTGTCGGACAAGATGCTGGACCCCCCTGCGCCTGGTGCTGGTGGCCGCAAGTCTGACTGATTGGTGGGCGCATCGTGCGCTTTCTAGTGAGCCTGTCTAGCACACCACTGCGCCATTTCCGAAATTGGCCTCTCATCAATCGCATCATGCCACCATTCTCGTCCCGTCTCTGCTGACCCCCCCCCTCCCTCGGCGCGTACCCGTGCCGGCGTGCACGCCGCAGGCCTCCCCCGCGCGCGCGCGACTCGAGCGGCTGCTGCTGGGCGTTCACGGGGTACAGTCGGGGCCCTGAAGAAGGAACCCTTTTGGTTGGGGAGGGGTTTCGCGTTCCTTAAGTGTTTCACAGCTTGCCTCAGGTTTCCCTTATGTTTTCGATAGAAAATCGAAGTTTAACTTATTGAAAAAAGGGGCCTCGTTCCTTATTTAGGGTTCCTTAGGTCAACGCCCCGACTGTAGGCGATGCAGGGGAGGCCGAGGAGAGGAAGAAGCAGTCGGAGGATGCCCAGGAGCTGCACGCCATGATCAGACAAACGCAGCGCGTGGCACGCGAAGACGAACAAAAAGCAGGGTGCGAGCCCAAGGGAGAGGGGAGGGCATTTCAGTTCACCGAAGAGAGGGGCGCCCGACGGGGGATCAACGGATACTTTTTCGCCAACGCGGACCCGAAACAGTAAGTCAAATCAATGTGGGTGTCGAAGACACGTGGTGCAAGCTTATGTGGTGTAAGCTGCGTGGTGCAGCACACGTGGTGCGTCACACGAGGCGGCCACGGGCGACAATGTGGCGAAGCTTCGCCAGACCCACCCAGCACACCAGGCGGCCACGAGGCGGCCACAGGCGGCAACGTTGCGAAACCTCCTCGCCGGACCCACCCAGCGCACGAGGCGGCCACGAGGCGGCCACGGGCGGGAACGTGGGGAAACCTTGCCGCACCCACCCGGCGCACGAAGCGCCCACGGGCGGGCATGTGGCGAAACCTCGCCAGGCCCACCCAGCGCACGAGGCGGCCGCGAGGCGGCCACAGGCGGGAACGTGCGAAACCTTGCCGCACTCACCCAGCGCACGAGGCGGCGACGAGGCCGCCACGGGCGGGATCGTGGCGAAATGTCGCAGGTCTTGTCCAATTCCTCAGCTAGTCAAGCCAGAACCCCCAAGTACAAGAACTGTTTGGGGAAAGCAGATTTCCCAGCGTGGACCTCAAGCCGTGATTCAGTGCACTTTGGAGGTGACGGCTAATCGTGCGGGGTAAGCTATATAGTGTGAGCTGTGTGTGTGAGAAAGTGTGTGGTGTGGGCTATGTGGTGTAACCTACGTAGCACCCCGCAGATGCGGATGAGAGTGAGGGGGCGGTGGGGACGTCGGAAGTTCGCAAGACGCTGGAGAAGCCCGCCGCAGGCGCCAAAGTTTTACACATTATACAACGAGCCCGCCGCAGGCGCCGATTTTTCCGTTAAACCAATGTGGGTGGGTCGCGGGAGGTTCGCGGATGGGTCGCGGGTGGTTCGCAAATGGGTCGCGGGTGGGTCGAGGGTCGGTCGCGGGTGAGTCGTTGTTGGGTCGCGGGTGGGTCGCGGGTGGGTTGCGGGTGTAGAGGGCAGAAAATTCACCCCATAATTATCACCCCGACAAGCGAAGCCGTGTAGTAAACGCACAAGGAAAGAATCAAACAGGGCAGGGCTGTTTAGTAAACGCCCAGGGCCGCTTAGTAAACGTCAATCGTCGGGTCCGGTTGGTTTTTCCTCCCTTGAGGGTGGGTCGCGGGGTGGGTCGCGGGGTGGGTCGCGGGGTGGGTCGCGGATTGGTCGTGGGTGGGTCGGGGGTGGGTCGCGGGTTGGGTCGCGGGTTGGGTCGCGGGGTGGGTCGCGGGGTGTGTCGCGGGGTGGGTCGCGGGTGGGTCGCGGGTGGGACGACGACAAGAAACCACATCAACAACAACAACAACAACAACAACAGCAACAGCAACAGCAACAGCAACAGCAGCAAAAACAACAACGCAACAAGCAGAGTATCCAACACGAATTCCCTATTCAGCCACGCACCAAGGGACAATGAATGACCGTTCGGCCCCCTCACTCTGATGGTGTGTAAGCTTTGTGGTGTAGGCTATGCGGTGTGATCCATGCGGGTTGACATACGTTGTGTAATCTATGCGGTGGGCGCCCGCAATGCGGCCTAGTGTGGCAACATGCCATGCATGGCACAACCTCGACCAGGCCCACCCTGGGCACGAGGCGCCCACAAGCGCTTGCGGGTGGGAGCGTGACGGCATTTCGGCGGACTCACTCAGGGCACTAGACCTTCCCGGGCGGGAGCGTGGCGAAACCTCGGTGTACCCACCCAAATGCTTTGAAATAGAAGTTGGAACCTCTAAGTCCAAGCACTGTTTGGGGGAAGCGCGCGACGCCTGTCGCGCGCCGGCGTCCTTCCCGCCGCCCTGACGCACCCCTCCGACCCCCCAGACATCCGACGTCGCGATTTTGTTCGCAGCGTGGCCCCCAGAGGCCCGTTGCCCCTTCCAAGGGACCTGCTCTTCATCCTGAGTTGTTGGTTCATTCGGGGGGGTCCAAGAGGGGGGTGGTGCAGACTATGGGGGGAGGATATCATCATAGCTGGGGCCATGATATCTCCCTAGATGTCATGGCCCCCTCTTCTTGTTTCAAACGCGTCCCGTGGCCCCTCTGTGCCGCGCACGTGCCTCCAGGCCATGACTTGCGAACCCCTCTCTTGGACGCCCCCCTTCGGGACGCCCCCGCTGGACGGCCCCGGGGCCCGGCGAGGATCCCCAGAGGCCGAACAGAAACTGCCCGATAAGATCCACCGTGCTCTTGTTCGCGCGGCGCCCGCCGGGCTTCCGAGGCTCGTCCTCCGCCGCGGCCGCGCGCGCCGCGCCCGCCGCGGCCGCGCTCTGCGAGGCCTGACGAGGGACGCGCCCGCCGCCTGCGGTCCGCCAGCGGACGGCGTCCGCTTGAGCTGCCCGCGGCTGCGTGCGTTTCCTCCTCGCGGTGCTCCTCCTCCTCCGCCTCCCGTTCCCCACCTAGTCCCCGTGCTCCTGCTTTTCCTCCTCTCCTGCTCATCTCTCTCCCTTCCCCTCTCCTCTCCCCGCAGTGGAGACCTATGAATACCACCCCTCTCTCTCCCCTGACGGCGTGCCGGGGTGCTTCTTCGCATCCAGGGTTTCCACAGCCGGTGTAGTTTCTGCTCGCGGGCCCCAGACCCAGAGCGTAGCCATGACTCGAAACCTTCCGCGCCCTTCAGCCCAGTGAGACCGCAACCGTGCCATTCACTCACACGGGCCCGGATCGTGTCACATCACCGTCAGTACACACGCGCGCGCCATGGTTCCCAAGGGTTCTCGCTGCACGCGTTCAGTTCCAGAACAGCCCAAGCCGCCAGGTAAGGGCCGCCAAAAGGGAATTGTCATCGGATGGCAGCCTGTCCCGACATCGCCGCGTCCCAGAGCATTGGTGACGTCAGCAGTCGATGCATACAACGAGTTGGCTCACAAGCATTTTACCGAAATCGACATCGTATACCAGCAACACCGCTTCGACCAGCACAAGCTGAGGGGCGAGCTGATGAACCCGCGTGGGAAAGCAAAGGCCGGCTACACCATGTTGAGATATCCCCCGGCGAACAAAAGCGGCCTCCACCCGTGACTCACCAGGGTCCACGGCCCTGGGCCGTGCCCGCCGGGGCAGCGGCACCGCCCCACTCATCAGCCTCGGCGCGCAAAACTGGTAGGGGCCCATCGCCACTGCGCCCACCAGGGTGGCGGACGGCGGGCGCATGATACACCAACGGCATCTCATTACACACGCTAGATCTCGAGGAGGGATCCCGCCTCCTGCAGCAAATCCGCATGCAGGACAAGCCCCTCACCATGGTTGTGTTGGGACCCATCAGCACCGACCACCCAGGCAAAGAAATTCTCATCCTCGTCTCGGTTTGCGCAGGACCGCAAGGGCGACCAAACTCACTCCAGCATTGCGGGAACGGTTTACCAATTGGGCCGCAGCGAAGCCAAATGCGTCCATAACGTGGTCCAAAGTTGCATTGGACCCTGCGGGCAATGTCATTTGGATCTTCGGAGCTATCTGCGAATCAGCTGTCATCCAGGGAGCCCCCGGGACTGGCTCGAGTCCGGCTGGCTATCGGGGAGGGGAGACGACGGGTGCGAGAGATCGCGGCGCTGCCGCGGCAGACGGCCCGTCCGCCCGCGACGAACGTACAGGCCGCGCGCGGCAGGAGTCGCGCGCGCGTCACGGCCACCGCGGCAGGGACGAAGCTGCCGACAGTGACCGCAGTCACGGAGCAGATTCGGCGACGGGAACCAGAAGGGGGCGCGCGCATCGCTCGGATGATGCCCCTGCTGGCAAACTCCGTTCCCCGGGCAGAGGAAAAGGCAGAGCAAGGCCAATGCAGGTGGCCGTGGTCGCAGATATGTGCGGGACGACTCGAGCGTATGGTGGACCGACTTTCGGGCCGACAATCGGAGCGACAATCGGTGGCATAAACGAACTGATCGCGACGAGGGAACGTGGACCTATGAAGGCTCCTGGCATGCGAGTTCGAGCGGAGCCAGAGATGACAACTCATGGCATGCGGGTTCGAGTCGAGGCTGGGAAGGCAGCCCGCGGTGAACTGGGTCGAAGCGTGACCCTGGGGGGCCGGTGGCACCCGCGGGCTCTGTCTGATGAAATTCGGGGCCACGTCGAGCGACTGCGCCTTCACCTCTGCAGCAAGGTGCCGGCGCCCCTTGACGAGGTGCACTGAAAGCCGGCCCGTGGGGTGAAGTTGCTCCGGGACCGCCGCAGGGGGATTCGTTACCTTCGCTCCCTCCGCCTCTCTTCAGAGCTAATGTGCACGTGCCGCTGCATGCGTTTGGCTCGAGGAAAGACTGAGGATAGGACGCAGCTGGCGTCTTGGCAGGAAAGGGTGCGCGCTTCTATTTCTCCTTGCGCGCGTCTCACTTTCCGTGCTCACATCTACTGAGAGGAGCATGCAGCTATGTCGGACGTCGTCGTTACAGGGCCCATCCGTCTACATGATCCACATGACGGGATTCCCAAAATTGGGAGATCGGAACCAGAGAGACGCGCATTCGTCAGGGGATGTCGATTGTCTGGCATCCTCGTCCTCAACTTCCTCTTTTCCTCCATCCCCTGATTTTGTCCTCCTCCCTCTTCTCTTCTTCGTGCCTCCGACCTACTCCTTCGCACCCCCTCGTGATTGCTTTTTGCACGGAATCGTTTGATCGTGCCCACCAGTGTTTTCTTCCTCCCCATCCCTCCTCTTCCCTCCTCCTCCTCCTCCTCTTCCCCTTCCTCCCCCTCCCTCCCCTTCCTTCTCCCTCTCCTCCCCCTCCTCTTCCTCCTCCCATCATTCCTCCTCCTCATCCTCCCCCTCCTCTTCCTTTTTTTTACGCTCGACCAACCTAAAGGTTCCCCTGCGGCGTTCATGATGTGGACAAACAAGCGCACGCGACTCGGCCCAGAAAAAATGGCCAGGCGGGCGCAAATCATAGAAAGCTGAGCAGGCGCCCGCCAGGTCCG